CGCACGCGCCTTCGACGTTGGCAGCGGCGCATGCACATCGAGGCCTTGCGCGGGCGTCTGCAATTCGTGTCCGCGAGGCGGTTGCGGGCCGAGGAGCAATGCCGAGCACTGACGGCGGCCCCCGGCGGGACTACGGCCCGCGAGCGTGCCGTTCTGGCGGGCCACCGCTTGCATACGGCAGCATGCCACCACGCAGGCGTAAGTGATCACCGCGGCCCTGTGGCGCTTCGGCGCGCCGGATGGTTCAGCCCTGCAGCGCGAGAGACGCTCCTGCGCGCCGCTGTGGGCAGACCGCGGACTTGCCGACATGTCAGACGAGGCGTTTGCGGCCCTCTCCGCGCCGGCGCTCCGAGCCGCGCAGCGCGGCGCACGTCGCCAGGATCGCTGCGCCTCGCCAGACGAGCCCCAACGCCATTCCGCGCCTCTCGCGGAAGTGGCCGGGGACTTTTCGGGGCACCGTGCGGCTGCTGTGTTGCGGGTGCAGACGGCGCGGAGGAGACGCGCGAGTCGACGCTCCAACCAGCACGACGGCCAGCAGTCCGACCAGCACAATGACCGACGCAACGGCCAGCACTACGACCAACACAGCGACCAGCACGAAGACCAGCGCCACGACCAGCGAGACGACAAGCACCACGACCAGCACAGCGACCAGCGCCACGAACAGCACCACGACCAGCACAGCGACCAGCACAGCGACCAGCGCAACGACCAGGACCACGACCAGCACTCCGCCCAACACAAGTACCAGCATAATGACCAGCACAACGACCAGCAGCACGACCAGTACTCCGAACAGCACCGCATACCACACCAGCTCGACCAGCACCAATGCCAACACCCAGCACCAGCACCTGCTCGACCAGCACCAACACCAGCTCGACCAGCACCAACACCAGGTCTGCCAGCACCTGTTAACCCAGCACCAGGTCCACCCTCGCCTGAGCGGGCCCCTGGCCACGGCAGCCGGCGGACCGTGCGGTGCCGGCATGGGTTGGGTTGCCCATGGTATGCCATCGGCCGGTGCAGATTCAGTCACACGGGGTCTAGTGACAAACAAGCGTGCGACCCAGGGGCCCCGCGACTCCTCGAGCACGCCGTCATCGCTGTCAACTCCCAGGGCCACGACATGCGGTCACTGTACGGCCGATGGGCAGCGAGAGTGCAGGCCAGCAGCGTCACCATCCACGACCCGTACTTGTGTTCCCTCCGCCGCTCGGCCTTGCAGTTCCCAGCCCTGGACCTGCTCGACGACGATTGCCTCCTCGACAGCCTGCGGGCCGCTGATCTTGGACAGGTCACCAACCTTGGTCTTCTGGAGGAGCTCCTCAGCAGCCTCACGGAGGCGTCTGACCAACCGCTCCACGTGCGGATCGTTACTCGGGCAATGCTGCGGGGCACGCTATCGGCAGGCTCGCTCGTCGACGGGTGGATGGATAGCTTACGCCTCCGCTGGGGCAGCGCTGGCGTCACTCTCGAGTTCCAGCGCCATGCGCAAGTCCACGCTCGCCGCGTCGTTCTGCAGGGCGCCCGTGCCGCCGTGGAGGTCAGATCGGAGTGGGGGCTCGGCGTCTGGATTGACACGCTCGCCAACCTCATGCTCCCTCCAGCCCGTCGCGCAGTCAAATGCACGGAGTGGCCGGTGCTCGAGCACGAGGGCACCTGGACAGACCCGCGGACCGACGCGCCTGTGTCGTCGGCGCCGAGTCGGCTCCTCGCGGCGCCAACGGTCCTCTCCGAGGTGGACGTGCAGCGCGCGCGGAGCCGCCTGTGCCACCTCTTGCGAGGTCTTGTGGTCCGGCGGCGGCGATGAACCTGGGCGGGCCGCGTGGCTTGCTCCCGCTGCCAGGAGACCGCTTTCGCTGTCGGTGCATTTGCCCGCCACGAGGCTGGCGATATCGTGCCGCTTACATTTGGAGGCATGCCATGCTGGACAGCGCAGGTGGACATGGTCCAATGTTCTGAGTGCGCGGGGACAGCCCGCGGGAGGGGCCGCAGCCAGTGGCTCCAGATGGACTTGCCTGGCCGTGGACGCGGGCGCTTGATGGCCAACGGCGCGGCGCTGCTCAACGATCTCCGCGCCAGCACGGGGGCTGCCATTGAGCTCCCAGCAGCGCGGGAGGGGCAGCAGCTGCTCGCCTTCGGCACGCTGGAGCAGCATCGCCGCGTGGCCGCGGGGCTGCGGGTCATTCTGGCCGGAGGGGATGCCGTCGCCCTAGCCGCCGAGTTGGCCGGCTCACGGTGGCCGGCGTTGCGTCTGGAGTATGCTCAGCGAGCTCCTCGGTACTCCTGCAGCACCAGTGCGACTCCAGCAGCATCAGCGCCGTCACCAGCTGCACCACGACCGACGAACACGACCCACGTCACGACGACGGGCGGCAACAACACCGCGGGCAGAGAGACTGGGAGGGGCGGCAGTGGCGGCGATCCCATAGGAGGAGAGAGGGAAGGCAGTGGAGGAATGGCACGACTGGGAGCGATGGAGGGCAGTGGAGATTGAGAAGGCGGAGGCGGCGGAGGCGGTTGCGGAGGCGGCGGAGGCGGTTGCGGAGGCGGCGGAGGCGGAGGCGGCGGAGGCGGCGGCGGCGCCGGCGGATGCGGTTGCGGAGGCGGCGGTGGCGGCGGTGGCGGCGGAGACGGCAGAGGCGGCGGAGGCGGCGGAGGCGGCGGCGGCAGCAATGTGGGTGGCTCCAGCAGCATCGACGCCATCACCAGCAGCACCACCGCTCCACCCGCAGTGCCAGACCGACACCAGCAGCGCCACCACCAATTCCAGCAGCACCGCGACCAATGGCGACCCACTCCAGCAGCACCAGTGTGGCTCCAGCAACATCGATGCCATCACCAGCTGCACCACGACCGACTCCAGCAGCCCCTGACCGGCACCAGCAGCACCTCCACCATCTCCAGCAGCACCACAACCAGCCTGCGGCCCACTCCAGCAACACCAGCGCAGCACGACCGACTCCAGCAGTACCTGACCGACACCAACATCACCACCACCAGCTCCAGCAGCACTACGACCAACCAGCGACCCACTCCAGCAGCACCAGTGCGACTCCAGCAACATCAACGTCATCACCAGCTGCACGGGGATCGACTCCTGCAGTGCCAGACCGACACCAGCAGCACCACCACGAAGTCCAGCAGCACCGCGAACAAGCATCGACCCACTCCAGCAGCACCAGTGTGGCTCCAGCAGCATCGGCGCCATCACCGGCTGCACCACGACCGACTCCAGCAGCCCCTGACCGGCACCAGCAGCACCCCCACCATCTCCAGCGGCACTGCGACCAGACAGCTACCCACTCCAGCAACACCAGCGCAGCACAACCGACTCCAGCAGTACCTGACCGACACCACCACCACCACCAACTCCAGCAGCACTGCGACCAACCAGCGACCCACTCCAGCAGCACCAGCGTGACTCCAGCAGCATCAACGCCACCACCAGCTGTACCACGACCGACTCCAGCAGCAGCTGACCGACACCAACAGCACCACCACCAACTCCAGCAGCACAACGACCGACCAACGACCCACTCCAGCAGCACCTGCAGTGCAATTCCAGCAACATCAACGTCATCACCAGCTTCACCGCGACCAGCAGCACCAGTGCGACTCCTGCCACACCGCGACCTACCAGCGACCCACTCCAGCAGCACCAGCGTGCGAGAAGGGCGAGCTGTAGCAGCGGGCCCTATCGCCGCTCAGAGTGACGCGGGTGGTGGGGCTGGAGCCCGACATGAGCCACAACACGGGGCAGCCGGCCCTACAGTTTCACAGAGTTGTGGGTAGAAAATCCGGAGCCCGACGTCATGATCTACAGCGCCCCAGTGAGAGCGTGCGAGAAGTGCGAGCAGTGGTCGCGGGCCCTACCGCTGCGCGGCGAGATGCGGGCGGTGAAGCTGGAGCCCGACACCAGCGCGTGCGAGAGGTGCTGGCAGTGGCAGCCAGCCCGATCGCTGCTCGGCGAGATGTGGGTGATGAAGCTGGAGCCCGCCGTCAAGAGCTCTGGCACCCCGACCAGTGCACGCGAGAAGGGCGAGCAGTGGCAGCGGGCCCCATCGCCGCTCAGGCAGGGGGGGCGGCAGTGGAGCGGTGGGCGGATTGGGGAGGAACGGCAGTGGAGGCGCGGGGGGCGGCAGTGGAGGCGTGGGCGGTGGCTGGACGGGTGGGGGCGGCAGTCGTGGCGACGGTGGCGGTGGCGGAGCAGCAGTGGCAGCTGGCCCTGGCGCTTCTCAGCGAGGGCAGGGGGGGCGGCAGTGGAGCGGTGGGAGGACTGGGGAGGAGCGGCAGTGGAGGCGCGGGGGGCGGCAGTGGAGGCGGCAGTGGCGGCGAACTTGTAGGAGGGGAGATGGAAGGCAGCGGAGGTGGAGAAGGAGGTGGAGGAGCGAGGAGGAACGACAGTGGCGGAGTCAGCATCGGTGGCAGCAGCGACGCGGTGGGAGGGGCGGGGATAGATGGCAGTGGCGGCGTGGACACGACGGCCAGCAGCGGCGAATGCGCGTGGACATGCTTCCCGTGCGTCGGGGCGGCCGCCGATCTCGCCTTATGGCCACTGCGGCGGAGCGGGGCGCACGAGGCGTGCTCCTCATGTGGCGGAGAGGGGGCGGCAGTCCTCCTCGCCAGGGCTCCGCGTGGAGCTGGCGCCGCTCATCGGGGTGGCGGCGACGCTGGAGGTCAGGCTCGCGCGAGAGAGCATCGGGCAGTGGCAGCCGGCCCTGGCGTTGCTCAGCGAGATGGAGGCGATGCTGGGGCCCAACCTGATGCGCGAGAAGGGCAGGCAGTGGCAGCCGGCCCTGGCGCTGCTCAGCCAGATGTCTGTTGCGAATTTGGAGACCAAGCTCATGTGCGAGAAGGGCAGGCAGTGGCAGCCGGCCCTGGCGCTGCTCAGCGAGATGGTGGCGATGCTGGAGACCAACCTGATGCGCGAGGAGGGCAGGCAGCGGCAGCCGGCCCTGGCGCTGCTCAGCGAGTTGGTGGAAGCGACGGTGGAGGTCAGACTCACGTGCGAGAGTGGCGGGCAGTGGCAGCTGGCCCTGGCGCTACTCAGCGAGATGGTGGTGTTGTTGGAGACCAAGTTCATGTGCGAGAAGGGCAGGCAGTGACAGCCGATCCTGGCGTTGCTCAGCGAGACGGTGGTTGCGACGGTGGAGGGCAGGCTCACGTTCGAGAAGGGCGGGCAGTGGCAGCCGGCCCTGGCGCTGTTCAGCGAGATGGAGGCGATGCTGGAGCCCAACCCTCTGCGCGGGAAAGGCGGGCAGTGGCAGCCGGCCCTGGCGCTGCTCAGCGACTCGATGTTTGTTGCGAGTCTGGGGACCAAGCTCGTGTGCGAGAAGGGCAGGCAGTGGCAGCCGGCCCTGGCGCTGCTGAGCGAGATGGAGGCGACGCTGGAGGTCAGGCTCACGTTCGAGAGTTGCGGGCAGTGGCAGCCGGCCCTGGCGCTGCTCAACGAGATGGTGGTTGCGACGTTGGAGGACAGGCTTACGTTCGAGAAGGGCGGTCGGTGGCAGCTGGCCCTGGCGATGCTTACCGAGATGCTGGCGGCGACGCTGAAGCCCAACCTCATGCGCGAGAAGGGCGGGCAGTGCGCGACGCGGCGAGGCCCGCGGCAATGGACCTCGAGCTCTGCGTGGACGAGGACGGCGATGAAGCGCACGAGTTCCTCGTGATGGACGGACCTGGCGGCGTGCGGCTCGACGCGAACGTGACACCCGTGAGCCGGCGCGGGCAGGCAGCCGGCCCTGGCGCTGCTCACCGAGATGGTGGCGATAGTGGAGCTCAACCTGATGCGCGAGAAGGCCAGGCAGTGGCAGCCGGCCCTGGCGCTGCTCAGCGAGATGTTGATTGCGACGCTGGAACCCAACCTCATGTGCGAGGGTGGCGGGCAGTGGCAGCCAGCTCTGGCGTTGCTCAGCGAGGCGGTGGCGAAGCTGGAGATCAACCTCACGTGCGAGAAGGGCGGGCAGTGGCAGCCGGCCCTGGCGCTGCTCAGCGAGTTGTTCGTGGCGAACGTGGAGCTCAACCTGCTGTGCGAGAATGGCGGGCAGTGGCAGCCAGCCCTGGCGCTGCTCAGCGAGATGGCGGCGATATTGGAGCTCAACCTGACGTGCGAGAAGGGCGGGCAGTGGCAGCCAGTCCTGGCGTTGCTCAGCAAGACAGTGGCGGTGCTGGAGACCAAGCTCATGTGCGAGAAGGGCAGGCGGTGGCAGCCGGCCCTGGCGCTGCTCAGCGAAATGGCGGCGACATTGGAGCTCAACCTGACGTGCGAGAAGGGCGGGCAGTGGCAGCTGACCCTGGCGCTGCTCAGCGAGTTGATGGCGGCGACGGTGGTGGTCAGGCTCACGTTCGAGAAGGACGGGCAGTGGCAGCCGGCCCTGGCGCTGCTGAGCGAGACGGTGGCGACGCTGGAGACCAACATGCTGCGCGTTGAGGGCAGTGGCAGCCGGCCCTGGCGCTGCTCAGCGAGATGGTGGCGCTGCTGAGCGAGATGGCGGTCGCGAACCTGGAGCCCAACATCATCACCTACGACATCCTGAACAGGCCGTGCGAGCAGGGCGGACGTTGGCAGTGGCGGCAGGTCGTGTCGTTGCTGAGCGAGATCCTGTTCGCTTAGCTGGAGCCCAACATCATCACCTACAGCACTGTGAACAGCGCGTGCGAGAAGAGCGGGCAGTGGCAGTGGCAGCATGCAGTGGCGCTGCTGAGCGAGACGGCAGACGTGAAGCTGGAACCCAACATCATCACCTACGGCACTGTGACCAGCGCGTGCGAGAAGGGCGGACGTTCGCAGTGGCAGCAGGTTGTGGCGCTGCTGGGCGAGATTGTGGCCGCGAAGGTGGAGCCCAACATCATCACCTACAGCGCTGTGAACAGCGCGTGCGAGAAGAGCAGGCGGCAGCAGGTTGTGGCGCCGCCGAGCGAGATGGTGGTCGTGAAGCTGGAGCCGAACATCATCTCTTACGGCATCCTGAAGAGGTCGTCCGAGAAGAGCGGGCAGTGGTGGCGGCAGCAGTTGGTGGCGCCGCTGAGCGAGATGGCGGTCGTTAAGCTGGAGCCCAACATCATCACCTACGTCACTGTGAGCAGCGCGTGCGAGAAGATCAGGCGTTCGCAGTGGCAGCAGACTGTGGCATTGCTGAGCGAGATCAGCGTCGCGAAGCTGGAGCCCAACATCATCACCCACGTCACTGTGAACATCGCGTGCGAGAAGAGCAGGCGATAGCAGTGGCAGCAGGCAGTGGCGTTGCTGAGCGAGATCCTGCTCGTGAAGCTGGAGCCCAACATCATCACCTACGGCATCCTGAACAGCGCGTACGAGAAGAGCGGGCGCCGGCAGTGGCAGCAGACCGCGGCGCTGCTGAACGAGATGTTCGTCGTGAAGCTGGAGCCCAACACCATCACCCACGGCGCTGTGAACAGCGCGTGCGAGAAGAGCAGGCGCCAGCAGTGGCAGCAGGTTGTGGCGCTGCTGAGCGAGATCCTGTTCGTGAAGCC